ATGCTACCAACAAATTGTCTGAATTGCTGTGGACAAATATCACCTATAGAGTTAAACATTCTGTTCAGCCAAGCTTCCATTGATAGATTTGAGCATCAGTGTACCTGTAAAGGGGCATTTTGGTGTCGCTGTTGCTGTTTTGTTACAATTGTATTTGAAGCTGTCCAATTCTTGTTTATTCTCTGTGTTGAATGTAGAAGGCTCTATCAAGTACCTTCGCTTGGGCGGAGGAGGTAACAGCCCTCAAGGCACTGAAGATTACCTACAGCCAATGGACAGTGCCCAGTCCCTGGGACGACGAGAAAGTACAGACAGCCTTGCTGAGATCAAGGTCAAGGCTCAGGAAGATGCCAGACGATACCGGGAACAGCAAGGGGCAGATCAGTACAGCAGCCAAGGTGCTAAACCCAAGCAGCGGAATAATAACAGAGATTCCTTGGGGCTACCGCAGGGTGCCGCTGAGCTGGAACCAAGGTACACAGCAGCCCCGTCTTCCTTCAGCAAGGCCACTGGTGCTAAGGTACCTAAACCAGAACCACCCACCAGGCAGCCGAGTGATACAGCTTCTTCTAATAAGCCACCGACATCCAAGAAACCCCTGAATATGAAAGGAAGTTGGGTGGATCCCAATAAGAAAGAGAAACGAATACAGAAGGCAGAAGAGGGTAAAAGGAAGCGAGAAGAAATCGAGGAGAGGCGGAGAGAGCAAGCCGATGTACAGCGAGGGCCAAGCGTGGTGGTCATGGATGAGCCATACCTTATCAGCAAACCCAACGTGTCTCAACCACCAAAAAGAAGAGCTCCAAATCCATTCCGGCAAGATTCGGGTGATGAGGCTGATCGCAGGGACTATACCAACTGGCCCAAGAACATTGAGGAAGATCATACAGTGTATCAAGTCTGATCTTAGCCGAGCTTACAATGACTTTTGTTTCAGATGAGGTTCCCTGTACTTCAGGGTCGTGCTCCTGATTCTCATTTTTTTCACTTCTCACCTCACGAAGACTACCAAGAACAGAGCTCTGCATTTAAGGTAGGGAATCATTTAATAGACAAAGCTTTGTTGTGCTGTGTTTGTTTCGGTTTTGTTTTTGTCTGCGTGAGGAGAACCACCCCCTCATCAGTTAAACAGAGCCGTGTTGGTCAGGAGTGTTCATTTTCATGGTAGAGATACCACCGTAACATGTGCATTTAACAGTTGCTGTGACCAGCAAAGTGCAGTTCCAACCAAAGGAGCCTCTATTGCTAAGGAACTTGCGCCCTCTGTTGGTCTCTGTTGGTCCAGCTTGTGGCTGATTGCTCATTGCAGTCCATAACAGGTGTACGTTTCTGTGACAGGTGCGGATTTAGATTTTTTTACTGTATTTATTTTTAGGTCTTCCACTTTTTTAACACTGATCCATTTTTAATATTTTTGAGGTACATTATTTTCCTAGCCCTTAAAATACGTGCCTGCAGACAACAACGTTTCTTACATTCTAACAAGGTATATAACGTTTTATTTTATTTCTCTGATAAACCCATCAAACTTTGAAATTCTTTCCGCATCATGATGGATACTTTGTAGCCAAACTATCCTAACAAACTTACTGATTTCTGTAAAAAGAAAATTAAAAATACTTTCAGAGACCAAATATGTTGTTTGATAAGCCAACATTATAGCCTTAATGCCAATTTAACACAGTTTTTAATATGTATATTTTTGATCAATTTTTACTTTTTTACTGATAGTTTATATTTTAGAATGATAACTAACGTCAAGTATCACAAGCAAGACATAGCAAACGGCATTTAACTACAATTTTTACGCTATAGATTAAGTATACCAACTTTTTATAAATATATACTCTTCATCTAATTTTGATACAATATCAGCATTTACATCAGTATTTTCCAAAGACATGAATAGTTAACAAATTGGTTATTCATATTGAACAGTAACTATTTATATTTGTAATATTTGTGTTGTGTGTGGTGTTCCTTGCATACTGCTTAGCCATTGTGACAATACTTTATATTTTATGTATCAGGTAGTATCATCAGATTAAATATCTATAGGAAAAATTATTCCTCAAGATAGATTTGAAGATGGTAATGCTCATTAATCAAAAAAGCCAAATGTTTATTTTAAGCTCTAATATTTGCAACTCTAACAGAATTTGTCAGCATAGACATGCAGTAATACTAATGGAGGTTTCTCCTTTTTATATCTCACAAAGCTAATTTTTGTTTTCACTTTACAAATGTCCCTTACAGATATTAAGTGTTCATTTTCAAAGATGAATTAACCTTGAAACTATTGATGAAAGACGGCCTTGAGTGTTCACTCCTCAGTAATCACTGATATTGTATATATTTGTTTCATTTTACACTCAGATCCAAAATCCCAAAATTGATTCATTTTAAAAATCACTTGACCCCCCCAGTTTTATTTTGTAAAGACATACGTGTTTTGGCAGGTTGTTTTTTAA